GTCGGTCATGCCTCTTATTGTAGTAGCCATCAGATCTACCGATGATTCTCCACATGCCGGTCTTTAGCTCCCCTTGCCGCTGATTCTCTGTCACAGGATTGCAGCTGCTCTAGTGACTAAAATGCCATAAAGGTTAATTTGATACTAATGCCGCTCGCCATCTCCAGCCCCGGCGACCGCCGGCCCTCCTGGAGCCGCCACCATCCCCAATCTGCCAATCACCACTAGAATTTGGAAAAAGCCTCAGCTCTGTCACCGTTCAAGACGAGATCCTCTCGGAGTCCAATTACCAATTTTGTGTACAGTCAACTCGGTAATCCGCACGGTCGATTCCGGGTTGGATTTCATTTGAAAAAATGAGATGGGTTAGGGTCAACCCGATTAAACACGGGTCAATCCTAGTTTGACCCGAACCCGACCCACGTATCCATTTTGACACCCCTAATCATGATACTAATATTGTTACTGGCATTAGTACTGTTGATTGTTAATGATATTGTAACTGATAATATAATAGATTGAGATGTGATGAACTATAGAATACTAAATTGATACTGATAATCAGTATAGATATTGATGCATATATTTATTTATATAATTTACATTGTATTTTTCTCTTTTATCTTGTATTGATTTCAGTTGTAAGATCTTACTTACTTGTTGGGTTATGTGCTCATTACATGATTTTACATGTTTTTAGAAAATGGTAAAGATCCAGATAAAAATGTAATCATGTTTTTTTTCCACTGTTCATTAATAAGCTTTAGTTAAATAGTTAAAATGGAAGAGATGTAATTATTCCAATATAGATCCTGGAGTGTGACAAAGGTTGCTTCATTGGAATGAAGCGATCATATTTTATAAGGCGATCAATAACATTTAAGATCACGATATCCCCTCTTGATTGTGTAGTCCTCCTATGAAATCCATGGAGAATGGAGATGATGTTGGTCCAGATTTGTGTGGGAATGGATAGGGGTTGAAATAATCCGTTCGGATTCAGGGAGTTTGATTTGTTTAATTAGCAGTTGTTGCAATTTTTAAGAAAATTTTTTATTGTCCGACCTATGACTCCCATAGAAGCTTTGTTTATAACGTCTAGGGTCGTATGGAACTCGAAACATCTACCAACGAAAGATTAATGGCAGTATAAGAGTTTGATGGGTATCAGAAACGAGGTCAAGCACATGAAGATCTTCCCATGATTTGAACCAAGCCCTTGTCTCTTTGGTCAAAAGCTACGGTTGGTGGGGATGTGGGGCAATTTTTCCTACAAAGGATCTTAACAATGGCTAGCATTTCCTTCTCATAAGTGGAGAGGGTGAGGATTAGCAACACAAATATTAATACTAAATAACCTCTGTATGTAGCTTAGTATGTGACCATTACTATATACCATACATCTATAAATACGGGTGTAATATGTACATTCTGATATGAAATAAGATTTCTATTTTACTGTTTTCCCTCGTCTTCTTGTTCTTCACCTGCTCACATTCTTTCCATTTCATCAGGAAGAGCCCTTAAGTGCTTCACTATAATAAGTCATCAGTAGACCTCATTGGGCGAGGATGGCGTCCAACCCCACTCCGCTAGTGTTGGCCTCCATTTCAAACGGTTGCCAGAGTTCATGTAGGCAAAGTATAAGGAAGTGGTTATGCCACCTTAAGTTGTCGGATGGTAACAACGATGACAGAATCCTAATGAAAGCTATTCTTTTTGATCTGACGATGTAAGGGGAGAGCCAACGTCTCAAAGCTGCGGATGAATTTTCGATAGTATTCGACGATAGTAAGGAAGCCGCGCACCACCTTGGACGTCATGGGGGTGGCCAGTTGAGCACCACCATCTGAATTTTGTGTGACTCCAAACCTGCAATTAGATTTTTTAGCATATAGGAGGTTGGCAACAGGCACTAACAATATCTTATGGAGGTAAAAGAGATGTTCTCTCCAAGCTAGTGAGCAAACCAGGATGTATTAAAAAAATAAAAATAAAAAACTTAAGATGAACATGTGAAGGTAGGGTCTCAGAATAAGTCATTTATGAGTCTCTAGAAGGTCGTAGGGGAATTTTTAAGGTCGAATGCATTACAAGAAACTTGTAATGTCCAATGTGTGTTCAAAAGGTGATCTTCATAATGACTTGTTCGTGGGTAGACCACTTTTGCAGGCGATACTAATTTTTTCATTGAAAATTTCTATTGGTCTTCCGTCTTGCAACAGGACAACCACAAAACCCATGGCAGAGGCATCCATCTCAATTTGAAATGGCTTATCAAAAATTGGGATTGCAAGTACCAGAGCGGAGCATACTCTATATTGAATTTCCTCAAAGCTGCACTGTTGATTGGGCCCCCATGCAAATACTTTCTGCTTCAAGCTATTGTGATTGGAGCTAGAATACAATTGAACCCTCTAATAAATTCACGGTAGATGTTATTGAGCCCATAAAAATTTCGCATGCTAGAGAAAGAATTATGTGTCATCCACTTTTATATGGCCACTACTTCTAACAGGTTAGAAAGTATACCTTGGCCACTAATGAAATACCTGAGAAACTGAACACTCTCTAAGGCAAATTCACACTTGTGCTGGTTGAGTGATGAATTTTGTTCTCATGGAGTGCTCAAATGTTGTAGAGGTGTTGAATATGATCTTTAAGGGATTTGCAACACATGAGGATGTCATCAAAGTACAAAACACAAAATCAATTGAGGAAGGGTTTCAATATTTCATTCATCACCCTCATAAATGTACTAAATGCATTGAACAACCCAAACCGCATGACCCACCACTCATATAAGCTTTCGTGTGCCTTGAAAGAGGTCTTTCATTCATCACCCTCTCAAATTCATATTTGGTGATAATCACTCCACAAGTCCATTTTGAAAACATAACAAATCTATATAATTTGCCTAGCATGTCCACAAGACGGGCATTAGGAATCTATACTTGATGTTAATCTTGTTTATGACCATCCTGCCTACACATGCACCATTTGCCATCTTTTTTGGGGATTATTAATATCAAAATAGCACATGGGCTCAATCTATATGCCTAAATTTGGGGGCTCAATCTATAGTGCGGGAGATTGGGGACAGACAAAATTAGTGCACCTAAAGTCGATTGGGGCATTCATTTGTTTTGTCACCTAGTTGAAAGCACCAAAGACATTTGGATGAAACTAGCTTGCTATAAATGTTTTCTAGTGGAGCACCAAATTTTGGATGAGCACTAGGCTCTTATTATCCTGATTGGAGGCACAGAAGGAGGCTCCCTTTAGGTTAGGAATTTGGTTTGCAGCTATCATAACTCTGCTCTAGGAGGGTTCGGCAGCTTGAGGATCTCCTATGAGCCTGATTAAATTGGCATTTCGCCTTATAAGCATGGTTAACAACTTGCAATAGTGGACAGAAAATATTCATCTACAACTTCTCTTTAATTACATTGCGTAATCCTCCAACATATTTAACAGCTAACTATTAGTTAGTCTCACAGAAAATGATACCACTAGCTACAACATATGTTGATAATCAAAGTGTAATAAACGGTTTCCCAATGTTTGTTTCATTTGGCTTCAAGTTCTAACATTTTAGCATACTCAATGCCGATACGATTGCATCATTTGAACTCATTAGACTAGACAGAAAGTTTTCCTGATGAGGGCTCAAATCGATTTTTTTCAAATATTTCTTCAAATTTTCTCATCTGAATTTGGGACTGACACTGATGGTTTTAATTTTTTTAATTAAATTTATTATTTTAAAATGATAAAGTATTAAATATAAGATGACACAAAAACTTATAATTTATGATGTCCACTCTTTATATTCTAAAAAAGTTGAATGACTACTTCATTACAATACAATCTAATATATTTTCTCAATATATGCGACTTAAATATAATTTAGCTATTGATCTACAATTCTATTTTGCAATTGATTTTTATAACATTTATAACATAAAATGCTCTCAACTCATATTGTTGCAACGGGTAATACAATTGGTAATTCCAATAGCTTGAAAGTAAGACGATGTAAAGCTTTCTTTTTGCTCTAGATTATTTTCTCAACAAAGTTTTCAATATCTTGTAAGAAAGAAAATTATAAATCATTTGGATAAAGTTGTTTCATTCTAATTAACCTGCCTTTGTTGAATGCATAAAATAACTATTTGGATTCAAATAGGCAGTAAACAAAAGTAACTCGATATTTACAGCTGTACAAAGATTATTTAACTCCTGAAGTTGCATATCAATGATTGTATAGAATATTTCAACTCGAACATTATTTAAATTTGTTATATCTTCAGCTCTAAGATAATGATGTCCACGAGCAACTCATTTATTATCCATATGACTATTATTTGTACACAAAAAATCAAAGAAAAGATCTGCAATTTCAACTCGAAGAAAGGATTGCTAGAAGTAACACTAAAAACCGAGAAACAAACAGAAGGTCAAGGATTAAAAGTATATAATATTCTTCCTCCCATCCTTGCACCTAACCTTAGCTATTTATAAAGTAAATAGAACATTCTAGAAATTAAATGAATACTAGACCTAAGCTCTATTATAACTAAGATGTTCCCTCAGCCAAAGAAATTTGTAATTAACTGCATCACCCAGGCCCCTCTTCAACCATGCAATGCTAGACTGTCAATTCCAGTAAACAAGTAAACCCAACGTTCAAATTTTCTGTCCAAAAGCAATCCGTGCATTCTATTTGCATTGGATATATGATTGTTATGAATCATGACAGTTAAAGTTTTGGAAAGCAGTTCATGCCATACCAAAAAGATTGAAAAATATTTTACTTAGATTTGGACTTACAACAAATAATGCACATAACCAACTAGCTATAATCAGACACAATCGGAGAAAGTCATGATTAGTCATGAAAATGTTTCAATGAATTCAATAATGCAGTCAAGCATTGCGGTGTAGTATGTTATCAGTCTATGTCTGCACTCTGCTATGCAATGGTGAAGAATAACAAGTACTTAATAATTCTGCGAAACTTCCAAATTTTGATTGCAAATAGTAATCACAAATTCCTTTAAACACACAAAAACTAGATATGTAAACATTTGAATGGAAATCCAGTAAAAAAAGATCGCAATAAAATGCTCCAAAAACTTCGATTTCTTCGGCCCTGTCAATCCCGTAAGATCAAAGGAGTAAAAAATAACCCCAAAAATGCAATTTTTAGCAGACGTCGTCACCAACATGACAAACCCTAGCTCAGAACCCTCGGGGCCCGGACCCAGTCTTCTGCTCCAGAGAACCCTTGGAAGCTCCATCCGCCATCAGGAGACAGTAATCGGATACCATTCGGAACCTGGGCACGCTGCGGATATCGACCTTAGTGCCGTCCTTTAGGGTGATAACAATGTCCCCCCACTCGCCGATCAATCTCGGCACCACCTGCACATCCTTGATTGCCGAGTAGGGGAAGTCACTTCGATCTTGACCGGTGAAGCCGGAGATGACGGTGACACGCCGATTAGTAAAGCGGTAGCGTAGGAAGAAGGCGCGGGACACGGCGGCTATGGTGAGGGGGAGCCAGAGGAGCGTGAAGCCTAATAGGAGGTTGGTTACGAGGTCCCCGTAGTGAGCACCGCCGTCGAAGAAGATGCGCTCTTCTTTCTCGACCAAAGAGGAGGTTGAGGGGGAAGAGGTGGAGGTTTTGGAGGAGACTAAAAGCTTGGAGGTGATTTTGGATAAAGGTGGGATCTTTGAGATGGGTTTTGAAGGGAAAGAATATGGCGAAGGTCTGGGTGCGGCGGCAATGGCGGCAGAGGCGGGAGGAGCGAGGACGGCGACGGCGGCCATTGGAGTTTGGTGGGCTTATCTGTTGCCCGTTGAGTGGCGGGGATTTGGGAAAGAGCAGTCAGTCATCCGTTTTCCATTTGATGGATTCGGATTTCCTGTCAAGTCTATAATACCGTCTATATCCGCAATCGAGCATGAGCCGGACACTTGTCTTTCTGAGTTCTAATTTTTAATATTCAGGAAAGAAATTTAATTTTTTTTTTTAATATTTTAGATAATAATTTCAGATAAAAATAAAAATATTGTACTCTATTTTAGTAATAAGTTAACTATTCCTGATTTTGGAGTTTAAAAATTCTCTCGAGTTTTTATTCGTATGAGAGCCTACTTGATTTTAAATATTTAGAAGACCCATAATTTCTAATCATATATTATTAAATATAAGAAGATTTACAAATAAAGATAATTTGGTTTGTCGGATTCAAAAAAGAGTTTAACATCTTAACTTTTAATAGAGATTTAGTACACACATAAAGAAAAGTGTAAGAATTATAAGAGGTATTAGATTTTTTAAATGAAAAATCTTGGAAATTAAAAAATTACACCATCACGCCTAGTCAAATTGATTTCACTAGTATTTATATTTGATTTCAAGTGTGGCTCATATCCCCAGACCCCAATTGACGGCATTGATAGGAATCCAACACATATCAATGTGTTGAAGTTGGAAGTTATAGTTGATGTCGACAACATACATTGATCTTATTAAGGCCTTATTTGAGACGGCTTAATTTTGCCTTTTCTGTTTTGAAATGGCAAAGTTATTTTTGTATGTGATACTTTTATAAAAATATTTTTACAGAATTTCATTTTCGTATTGTTTTCAAAAGCTTTTTAGTATTGACTTCTCAATTAGAAACCCACATTCTCTCAAATAAAAATTTTAAAACTAACTTTTATAAAAGGCATCGTGAAACCAAATGAAGCCTAAGTGACAACATATGTTAACATCATAAAACATTATTTTAAAATAATAATAAGGCTCAGAAATTTTTTTTAAAAGTATTATGACATAAGATCTTAATTACTATCTCTATTTGAGAAACATGAAAACATTGTATCTTTATTTGCAATATTTTAAAACTATTATCATTTTTCATAAAAAAATTGAAAAAAATATATATTTATTTACAACAATTTATGGCTTAAAGGTTAGGAGCTTCTCCTCTAATCATAAAGCCAAGGTTAAACCTAATGTATTTTTTTACAAAAATCACTTGATTAATTATAAATGTCAACCCACCTTATCATATAAAAGTAAGTTGAGTTGGATATATATATATATATATATATAACCGGATATAAACAATTCAAAAATCTTTGGAAACATTTACTTTTTTTTCCATGAATGTAGAGAATTTTCAAATATTTTTACTCTTAGATCACTAAAACATCTCTAATAATCAAAATGTTTGTGCTGGAACCCAAATTATAATATTTTGGAAGATAATAAAATGTAGTTATAAAAACAATCATAGTAAAAATATAGGTCATCAAATTGAATCATTTTAATTCTTATCTCTTATTCTATTTTGATTCTCTTCTTATGCCTTTTACTTAAATCTTTGATACTTTGCCTAATCTTATTTTATTAGTGAAGACCAATCTCTATCATATCGAGTAGAAAATAATTTTGTCAACCATATCACTCTCATTCTTTTTGTTCATCCATTATGTGTAAAACCAAAACCAATATTTTGCCATTATAATGTCTTAAGATCAAGAGATAATCAAAGCCGATTTATTTTAAGCATCAAAATTCATTGTCTTGACATAGCTATATATATTGGATGGCAAGCAGCTTGATCGAGACTAAAAATTGCAACATACTGCACATGCATGATTATTTTTCAAACCAATCAATCAATTATAAAATTTTCTTTGTGAAAAATTTATAGCCATAATGCGAGATATATTTCGTTATTTATGTTTCCTCTCTTATTTTATTGATTTCCTATTGATTTGTTGAAATCGGAGTTCGGATGGTCCCAGATTTAATTTCGGAAGCGTTTAACTCTATTTTGCCTCGAGATTCATGTCCGGTCAATAGATGAATTTTTGATGATATATCAACAACATTTATGGCTTAATGGTTAGGAGCTTCTCCTCTAATCATAAAGCCAAGGGTTGAAAACCTAATGTATTTTTTTTTTTTTTTTTACAACAAATGCTAGAGAAAATCCTCATCAGCCTCATGAGCGGGGCAATCAGAGATAGTGACAACAGGGTCAACTACCTCTAAACCATCAAAATTAGCATTAACAACACCTAAATTCTTCTTGACATGGCCATAAACATCCAGCTAGATCATCCTAGACCAAAATTACATGCTCAGAAGATAGCCCAACATGATCAGTAACAACTAAAGGAAGCACCACATCACCTACATTTCTCTCGTTCACATTAACAAGAAAAACACCATCCCTAACATTACAATTTAAATTGTTTAGGCTGTTAGAAGCAGGCTTGACACTCACATTAATTGGATGGGGAATAACTGTAGGAGAAGGATTGAGATGGTGATTTAAACTGCAACATTCCATTTTAGAATGATTTAATGAGTTGCAATGGGCACAATAAGAAGGAAACTCTTCCACATGGGTGTCAATTTCGGGTTACGGGTCAGGTTCGGGTCTAACCTAGAACTGACCCGGCACTATTCGAGTCAACCCGAACTCGCCCCGTTTTTGCAAAAGGATCAGTTTTTCGGGCCCGAACCTGACCCGCTTAAAGTTCAGGTCATCCCGATCGGGCCGACATGGATTTGGGAAATTTTTTATTTTGCGAGCTGCCGAACTCCTGTCGCTACTAAGCTTCCGTCGCTACTTCCGATAACGAGTCACTAATAGGCTAAGTTCTCGTCGATACTTCAGTACTTTCGACTATGGAGCTCCCACTGCTACTTCCGAGCTCCCGTCATTACTTCTGACTGCGAAGCTCCTAGACGCTAGATATGGTTACGCCTCTGACGAGTGATGCCGTGACGGTAAGATAGCGACTGACACAATGATGCTGGATGGTTAGGCTGGTAGACGAGACTGACGGATGCGACATCTCATCAGTCTTCAGATGTGACTGACGTGACAGGATGGACAGAGAGCCGGAAACTGCCGGTATGGGTCCAATTTTGGGTTTTCAGGTCAACTCAGACCCGCACATTTTTCAAGAAGGTCAAAATCTTTAATCCGAACCCTACCCATTTCGGGTTCGGGTTGACCCAAACCTGAAATTTTTGTGTTGGGTTCGACTTGAATTTTTGGGTCGTGTCAAATATTAATACCCTACTCTTCCATTACCACATATTGTATATACCCTAAATTTTTTGGGCCAACCCAAATTATATCAGGAAAATATTTGGTAATATCTAACGTCACCAGGACACAAGCTACAGAAGGATGAGAACCAGCCAAAGTAGCATTGTCCATTTTTAAGGCCAACCAAAAACAAAGCCAAGACCATGAAAGATTCTTGGTGAGAATAGGTGTGGAAGCAAGTGGGAAAAAGAGACCCAAATAGGAATGATCGGTGAATCGACTTCGATATCAAGCGTTGGAGACCATTTTAACTAATTTCATAGAATAATTGCTAACAAAGTAAGATCAGTGGGAAAAGACTCTACAATACTATAAATCATCAACAAGCTTTATCAAAACATGCCTAGGGTTGAAGATAGTGACCGAACATTTTCCATTCAATTTTAGATTGAAAAAAATTTTCCTAATGGCAACAACAGAAGGTCTATGGTTGGGAAATTTGCCAACTAGAGTGAACTCAAACGGAATGGCGAACACATGTATTTTCTCTTCCGAAATCCAAAGAGCCGACAACCTCCTCGTGAGAAGAAATTTTGAGGTCGGGGAAAGAAGACGATCAATGGGAAGCACTAGCTAAAGCATCTTTGACTGAACAAGAAGAACCGTTCCCATTTAGAAAACCAGGGTCCCTTAAGCGATTAGCTTCTATGGCCAAAAAATGGAAATGACAAGGTACTACAAACATCACAAAATGAACTAGGAAAGGGGAAAATAGAACTTCCATGAGGAAAACGATATTGGAGGCCACCACGACAGCGAGAAAGTCAACATTATCGAAGGTTAGGGCACAAAACATGGCGAAAAAAAAAGAAGGGAAGCACTAGCTAAAACATCTTTCATTTCTTCTCATGATGAAATGAAGCAAAAATCACTTGATTATAAATGTCAAGCCACTTAATCATAGAAAAATAAGATGAGTTGGATACATATGATTTATAACCGGTGATAAACAATTCGAAAATCTTCGAGAACATTTACTTTTTTACCCAAAATGTACATAATTTTCAAATATTTTGACCCTTACATCACTAAAACATCTCTAATAATCAAAATGTTTGTGTTAGAACCATAATTATAACATCTTGGAAAATAATAAAATGTAGTTATAAAGCTATCATAATAAATATAGGTCATCTAATTAAATCATTTTAAATCTTATCTCTTATCCTATATTGATTATCATCTTATCCTCTTTATTTAAAACTTTGCTACTTCACCTAATCTTATTTTATTAGATAGAGAAGATCAATCTCTATCATATCGAGTAGAAAATAATTTTGTCAATCACATCACTCTCATTCTTTTTGTTCATCCTTTATGTGTAAAATAAAAACCAATTTTTTGCCATTATAATCTCCTAAGATCATGAGATAATCAAAGCCGATTGATTTTAAGCATCAAAATTCAGTTTCTTGACATAGTTACATATATTGGATTGCAAACAAGTTGATCGACAATAGCAGTTGCAACATACTGCGTGATTATTTTTCAAACCACTCAATCAATTACAAAGTTTTCCTTGCAAAAAATTTATAGCCATAATGCTACATATATTCCCTTTCTTATTTTATTGATTTCCTATTGATTTGTAGCCCATTTTAAAAGTTTGTATTGTATATATTTTTTCATATTCCATACTAATACATATCTTAATAAAAAAATCAAAAGAAGGAAAAAGATGTTGAAAACAGATAGAAGAGCACAAATAATTAATGTATTAGCTGAAAGAAGGGGAATCTTTAGCTGGAGTAGAGCAGTGGAGCTTAGTCGGTA